CATCATATTGCTTTAAAGCTTGCAGTCACGACACTTTGAAGTAGAATAGAAAAGTCATGATTGCATAAGTATTTAAACCTTTTTCTGTGGCAAATCTAATTTAATTTAGGTGCATAAAATATCTTTAAGGAGTCATACAGCTAGCTGGGTGGCTTCTGTCTATTTGCAATTATAGTGATTACATGATTACATAAATACACTTTTTATGTAATGTTCCTCAGCTAGGTAGGGATTTTAAAGCAAGGATTCAATGACAAAGACCATGGGACTCAGAGATAAAACAGCACAGAGATAAAGCTATGGAATACCACAAATCAGGATCAGCCTATAAAACAGTTAAAAACCCTGAATATCCCTTAATGAAGTTGATCATTAAGAAGTACTGTCTAAAGTCTATCGTATTGTATCGAAGATACAGCCTACACCTGTCACGAAGCACAGATCAGGAACCTATGCAGACGATAGAATCCGGATGGGAGTGCAAAAAACACGGAGTAGAGAAAACTAGGAGCGGGGCCGGTAGAAGAACAGGGGGGCATGACGACGGTGGGCTGGTGCTCACGGAGGCGTGGCCAAGGCAAACAAGTCCAAAGGGAGTCCGTAGGGAGTCCAAAGGGAGTCCATAGGGGAAGCCAGGGTGAACAAGAGGTTCAGAGCCAGGTAATCCATCCATGACTGATGTTAAAAATGTTAAAAGCCGGAGCGGGATCCGGTGAAGGGTCGGGGGGCTAAAAAAGGGGTAACGGGGCCAGGCACCTCAAGCCCCAGACCCAGATGGTCAGGACGCCGTGTTGAAGCCTGTGCCCTCGGGCCACTCCTGCACTCACTGGTAGCCGGGCTTCCAAAGCTGAGCCTGGAATGGTGGGAGCGTCTGGTTTTTGTAGGGAGGGGCTGGATAGGAGTCAGGTACAGGAAAATCAACACAAACAAGAAAGAGCCGGAGCGCCCTTAAGAGGAGGGACTTACGATCATGACAACACCTGGCTGTCCCTCCTAACTGAGCAGCCAGGCAAGGAGAAAAGTGAGTAGGTTTTAGGCTTTTCTGAAATTATGTAATGTTTTCACATTTTCCAATATTGCATAGTATTAAAATGGAACAGAGAAACAAATATTTACCAGTCGGTCAGTATGCTGGTCAATTCGGGAGTCAGGCAGTTTATTCAATGAGCCTGACTGTAAAATATATACAAATATATGTTCTCAGTTTTTCAGCTACCAGTCAAAGTGTCCCACTCCTTGGTGGTGAATGGAACACTGGGACAGTCAGTTGTCCTTCCTTCAGGTGTGGATGAGAAAACCTACAACTCTGTCAATCCAGATATCGTACAGTGGGAGAGAAACAGGGAATATGTCATCCAGTTCTTTAATCAGGTGAAGTCTCTTGAGAGCAATAATTTTAAAGGCCGACTCACTGTGAGTCCAACAGATGGGTCTTTAACTGTCAGCCCCCTGAGAGGAGAAGATGAAGGAGAATATGTGTTCAGTGGAACCGGATCAGGGTCCTTCCCAGAGCAAAGAGTTACTCTTCGGGTTTATGGTAAGATATGCTTCCTTAATTCACCAGTACTGCCAAAAACTGCATGCTGATTAGGACATTTCCTTTGGTACAAAAAATAATTTAGGTGCAATCAATATAATAATAACTACAACAACTCCCAGAGATTAAGGGTGTGATATCATTGCCATACAGTATGTAACAAGAGGTTCAGAGCTATAGGTATCCTAGTCAAAACGTAGGTACATTTTGAGGTTTTTAAAATTATATACCCCTTTTCAGTAAATAGTCTTTGAACAAATTCAATTGTTCAGACCCATTTTTATCAAAAGTGACTTGTGACCCAGGTTATTTTCATTTTAAGGGGTAACATATGATAAGGTAAGATCACTTTATTGGCCATATACAATTTCTTGCATTAGGAATTTGTCTTTTCCCATGCCCCAGCTTGCTCTCTATGAGACACACAGACAGGGTGAGAGAAGCTTGGGGTCAGAGCACAGGGTCAACCATTTATATAGCACCCCTGGAGCAGCTGGGGTTAAGGGCCTTGCTCAGGGGCCCAATGGAGTAGGATTCCTCTGCCAGCCGCAGAATTTGAACTACTGTAGCAACCTTCCAGCCACAGGCACAGATCTTTAGCCAGAGTGCCACCGCTCCACCTAATATAGTTGTGTCCTATTACACTATGAATTCTCTGACAGGTGTAAATTCAAGTTTTTGGATATATAGAAAATAATTTGTTAGTGCAAGCACATTCTTCAGTGGCTCATTGTGAAAATGCTCTGATGACTTATTCCCTAATAGAGAAGATCAGAGGAGTTCAAATCCATCATGAGAAGAGCTACGGGGAGCAAAACACATCCTGCAATCTGACGTTGCACTGCAATGTGACGGGAGGCACTGATGTCAACATTCACTGGCTGAGAGACGGGAGTAAGAACCCAGAGCAGCTGGGCAGTGCAGCCGTGAAGCTGGTGCTTCATCCCACAGACGGTGATCTTACCTACACCTGCGTGGCCTCCAATCCAGTTAGCAGCCGGTCTGCGACTGTAGATGCTAATAAGTGCTACACACAAGGTTAGTCAACTGATCACCCAGTGAGAATCCTTAGATTAACAATGGTGAATGCCGTGTGAAT